CAAGGAACGATATCTGCACTATCACAAACACTTTTGCTCTACTAGCAGACTACACAAAGACTTAAACGCCTCGTATTTTACGTTAAACACTAAGTTGGACAATTCTTCTTTATTTCACGATATACTGCATTTATATACTATTCCTCAATAGTTCATGAGTCATAGTTAATACAATTAACATTAGAATCATTTACTGAATTAGATATTAATTTTAGCTACTGCTCCCTTAATGCAGACAACAGTATTTACGAACATAGACATGTAATGACTAATACAGAATAGTCAGATTACGATATGTCCTATCACGGAACATTTCCATGATAATTTACAGTCTACCATAAGTGAATTACAATCACAATGATTCGAACTGTAAGCAGATGATTTGCATTCCCTATTAGAACTATTAATTTCAGTATGTGTATAAGTGTCACTGTCATAAAAAGTCAGTGCTATATCAAAACACAGTATATCCAAATTAGAAGTTAACTAAATAAGGATAGTCTAACAGAATTATCCTAACATAGTTATTTCTACTGTAATACAGTATTTAACACTGTAACAATAACACTCTTTAATATCCGATAATGGGCTCTTTTAGAATAGTATAATTTTAACAGAACGATTCCGTTACTTGTTTTGCCATAAAGACAGTGTTGAAAATTGTAAAGTATTCTCGTTTGGTCATTTATCTATCATCAATCTACTAGTTTTATCATTAAAAATATTTCATTTTAAGTACGCTATTATAAAATATTAACAATTTCTTTTCACTTTCCATCAACTATCACAACTTGTATCTCTGCATCATAAAATATTATAAGGAATTGTTTTAAATAACAGAATACTGCAATAGTATAGTGTTACAGTGTTAAATACTGTATTACAGTAGAAATAACTATGTTAGGATAATTCTGTTAGACTATCCTTATTTAGTTAACTTCTAATTTGGATATACTGTATTTTAATATAGCACTGACTTTTTATGACAGTGACACTTATACACATACTGAAATTAATAGTTCTAATAGGGAATGCAAATCATCTGCTTACAGTTCCAATCATTGTGATTGTAATTTACTTATAGTAGACTGTAAATTATCATGGAAATGTTCCGTGATAGGACATATCGTAATCTGACTATTCTGTATTAGTCATTACATGTCTATGTTCGTAAATACTGTTGTCTGCATTAAGGGAGCAGTAGCTAAAATTA